TTGGAGACAGAGTTTAGCTCTTGTGGTCCAGGCTGCAGTGCAATGGCATGATCTCAGCTCACTGCAACCTCTGTCTCCCAGGTTCAAGTGATTCTCCTGCCTCAGCCTCCTAAGTAGTTGGGATTACAGGTGCCCGCCACCACTCCTGGCTAAATTTTATACTTTTAGGACAGACGGGGTTTCGCCATGTTAACCAAGCTGATCTTGAACTCCTGTCCTCCAGGGATCTGCCCGCCTTGGCCTCCCAAAGTGCTGAGATTACAGGTATGAGCTATTGTGACTGGTCCTCACAGCAATTTTTTTCCTTTTTCTTTTTTGAGACAGGGTCTCACTCTGTCACCAAGCTGGAATACAGTGCGACCTCCGCTCACTGCAACCTCCCCCTCCCAGGTTCAAGCAATTCTCTTGCTTCACCTTTTTGAGTAGCTGGGACTATAGGCAAGTGCCATCATGTCCAGCTAGTTTTTTTGTGTTTTTAGTAGAGACAGGTTTTCACCATGTTGGCCAGGATGATCTCAATCTCTTGACCTCATGATCTGCCCGCCTCAGCCTCCCAAAGTGCTGGGATTACAGGCGTGAGCCACGGCGCTAGTGATAGCAAATTCTTTAAAGGTGTGTTAAAGTTCAGAGTTACAGATTTGCAGTAGATTGTCCAGCCCTATGCAGTCCATGTCCTGCCCAATGGAGACACGAGCTGTGTCTGCTTCAGAATGCAGGCAGAACCGGCTTCTCTCATTCCTTCAGCTGTAAATCTACTCACCAGTCCTGCATGCCTTTGTGAGATCTTTCTAAATCTCTTTTATCCCACTTGCATTTTTTTAACTATCAAATGCATAAGGTTCTTAGTCTTTGAAAAGTGATGATCTGTGTACAGCACAGTATATTACTAAAATATCTGACCAGCCAGGCACGGTGGCTCATGTCTGTAATCCTAGCACTTTGGGAGGCCAAGGTGGGTGGATTGCCTGAGGTCAGTAGTTCAAGACCAGCCTGGCCAACATGGTGAAAAAATAAATAAATAAAATAAAATATTTGACCAACAAAAACATTCCCCTGCTCTGACCATGCTGGATAAACGTTTTCTGCACCCCGTTATGAGTTGTTGGGGCCGTTATTCATTCACTGTCTTTTTGTTTTTTGTTTTGAGACAGAGTCCCACTCTGTCGCCCAGGCTGGAGTATAGTGGCGTGATCTCGGCTTACTGCAACCTTCACTTCCCGGGTTCAGGTGCTTCTCTGGTCTCAGCCTCCCCAGTAGCTGGGACTACAGGGCTGCACCACCACACCCGGCTAATTTTTGTATTTTTGGTAGAGACGGGGTTGTACCATGTTGGCCAGGCTGTTCTTGAACTCTTGACCTTGTGATCTGCCCACCTCAGCCTCCCAAAGTGTTGGGATTCGAGGTTTGAGCCAGCACACGTGCCCTGAGCACCTGGCTTCTTAAGCCCAGGAACGAGCTGTTTTCCAGCCTGATAATCCCACAGTCAACAATGTCTGCTTAGGGTTCATAGTGGCAGGCCCTGAAATTCTGGCTGCCTGGCCATGGAAACAGATCACACTGAAACCCCCCTAATTGTAAAAAAGAAGGGCTTTTTTTCCCTCACTGTTCCTCCACAGACTCTCATCACAAACCATCTGGAGAAGGCCAGATGTGTACACTTCACGGAAATGTGGTCCTGAAACCTTCATTCTGAGTGCAGTGCTAACCACATCCTCCCATTCTTGGCAACACTAGTGAATGATACATTAGTACAGAGCACGTGAAATGCAGCAGACACATCTACGCCAGAATCTGAGGGTTGCTATGGTTTTTTTTTTTTTTTTTTTTTTTNGGAGTCTCACTCTGTTGCCCAGGCTGGAGTGCAATGGTGTGATTCTCAGTTCACTGCAACCTCTGCTCCCGGGGTTCAAGCAATTCTCCTCCTGCAGCCTCCTGAGTAGCTGGGATTACAGATGGCTGCCACCGTGCCTGGCTCATTTTTTTTGTGTGTTTTTAGTAGAGACAGGGTTTCACCGTCTTGGCCAGGCTGGACTTGAACTCCTGACCTTGTGATGCACCCACCTCGGCCTCCCAAAGTGCTGGGATTACAGGCATGAGCCGCTGCCCCCAGCCCAGGGTTGCTGCTTTGGAAGAAGCACACCCAAGTTTATACTAGGAATCTCGGCTGGAAAATTGGTTCATTACTGCCCAGTATTTCAAAGATACACCAGAACAAACATTCCTATCATCTGATTTCCAATAAGTCAGGATGTTCCCACTCACAACGTTTCCTCTATGGTATAACAATACTCTAGAAACTCAGCGCATTGTGATAATTCACGTGCTGAGCGTCTCTTGCAGGAGACTTTTAATCTCCCTCTGGCCTTGCCTTATTCACCTTAGGTCCCAGGATCAAAATGTTGGACTCTTTGTTAAATGTTAAAAAATTATTGATAAACAGGACCGGGCGCAGTGGCTCACACCTGTAATCCCAGCACTTTGGGAGGCCAAGGCAGGCGGGTCACGAGGTCAAGAGATTGAGACCATCCTGGCCAACATGGTGAAACCTCGTCTCTGCTAAAATATAAAAATTAGCTTGGCGAGGTGGCGTGCGTCTGTAGTCCCAGCTACTTGGGAGGCCGAGGCAGAAGAATTGCTTGAACTCAGGAGGCGGAGGTTGCAGTGAGCCGAGATCGCACCACTGCGCTCCAGCCTGGTGCCTGGCAACAGAATGAGACTCTGTCTCAAAAATAAAAAAAAAATTATCGATAAACAGTGAATGAAGGCTGGACACTGGCTCACACCTGTGATCCCAGCACTTTGGAATACTGAGGGAGGCAGATCACCTGAGGTCAGGAATTCAACACCAGCCTGGCCAACGTGGGGAAACCCCGTCTCTACTGAAAAACACTAAAAATTAGCTGGGCGTGGTGGTAGGCATCTATAATCCCAGCTATTAAGGAGGCTGAGACAGGAAGAATCGCTTGAACCCAGGAGGCAGAGGTTGCATCTAGCCTGGATGACAGAGCAAGAGTCCATCTCAAAAAAATAAAAAAACAAGAAGCCAGATGCCCAAAACATTGATATTATAGGATTAAAAAAATCTACTTACTTTGAGAATCGTCCGTGTCTTGAAGTATTTGGTCAAGGAGTTTTACTTTTTCAAATACGTACTTCGCAACAGGTTTGCATGGCTTTGATCCCTGTATTCCCTCTGTCTGGCATCTCTGATTACTGCATGCAGGAAAGGGAGGCTTTGGCTGTGTTTGGGTAGGGTTAGGGCACACAGCCCTGGGAGACAGGCGCGGACCTGCAGTGTCGCACAGGGGGCGTGTTGGTTCCGTGGCTTCCTCACAACCAGCCCCTGGCTCCCGATAGGAAGTTAAGAGCTGCTTCTGAGTCTGCAATTAGCATTTCTGGCACAGCTTCTGTCTTCTGTTCCGTTTTCTGTGCTGTTTTCCAGGTTTTGGTACTTTCTTCTCCCCTGTCTTTGCATCTGATATCTTACAGAATGTCCTTGATCTTCACGCGCTGCTTCTGAGATCAGTGGTAAAGAAGACAGGGACCCAGACGGAGGGAGCGAGGCCGTGTGCACCACGCTGAGGTGAGTGTAAAGCGGGGCTTTACCCAGACGGGTCGGAGGAAACACCCCGAACGTGGGAGTGGTGGTGTGCGGCGAAGAAGTCGACAAGTGACTTGGAGGTTTCCTTCACCATACTCCTCTGCATTTCCCAAATTTTGAAAATGAGTGTATATTAATTACACACTAAAAAAACATCATTTACGACCATAATTGCAGCGCTTTGGGAGGCCAAGGCAGGCAGATCATTTGAGGTCAGGAGTTTCAGACCATCCTGGCCAACACGATGAAATCCCATCTCTACTGAAAATACAAAAAAAATTAGCCAGGCGTGGTGGCGGGCACCTGTAATCCCAGCAGGAGAATCACTTGAACCTGGGAGGCAGAGGTTGCAATGAGCCGAGATTGTGCCTCTGCACTCCAGCCTGGGTGACAGAGTGAGGCCGACTAAAAAATAAAAAATTAAATTAAAAAATAAATAAAATAACATTAATATTTAAATTCATGTTTTTTTATTTTTAAAATTTTTTTTTAAAAGATGGGGTTTCACCACGTTGGTCAGGCTAGTCCTGAACTCCCAACCTCAGGTGATCTGCCTGCCTTGGCCTCCAAAGTGCTTGGATTACAGGCGTGAGACACCACGCCCGGCCAATATTTAGATTCATGTTAGTGAAACTGCAGAAAAAGATAAAATCATAAAGCAGTTAGGGAAAAAATATTCTTTCCTGAAAGATCTCTGGAAAATATCCAGATAACTGGAAGCTAAAAAATACACTTCTAAGTAACTATGGGCCTAAGAAGAAATCAAAAGGAAATTTAGGAAGTGTTTTGAACTGAATGAAAATAAAAATGCAACATATCACAATCTGTGGGATGCAGCAAAAGCAATATTTAAAGGTAAATTGATAGCACTAAGCTTTTAAAGGTCTGAAGTCAGTGACCTCGGCTTCTAAGTTAAAAAACTAGAAATAGGCGGGGTGCAGTGTTTCATGCCTATAATCCCAGCAGTTTGAGTGGCCAAGGGGGGAAAGTCACTTGTGGTCAGGAGTTTGAGACCAGCCTGACCAACATGGTGAAACCCCATCTCTACTAAAAATACAAAAATTACCTGGTGTGGTGATGTACACCTATAATCCCAGCTACTCAGGAGGTGGAGGTTGCTGTGAGCCAAGATCATGCCACTGCACTGCAGACTGGGCGACAGACTGAGACTCGTGTTTAAAAAAAAAAGGAAGGAAAGGCCGGGTGCAGTGGCTCACACCTGTAATCCCAGCACTTGGGGAGGCCAAGGCAGGCAGATCACCTGAGGTCAGGAGTTCGAGACCAGGCTGATCAACATGGAGAGATCCTGTCTCTACCAAAAATATATAATTAGCCGGGCATGGTGGTGCATGCCTGTCATCCCAGCTACTTGGGAGGCTGAGGCAGGAGAATCGATTGAGCCCGGGAGGTGGAGCTTGCAGTGAGCCAAGATGGTGCCATTGCACTCCAGCCTGGGCAACAAGAGTGAAACTCAAAGAAGAAGAAGAAAAACAAAAAAAGAAAACAAAAGAATAATAGAGAAAAATTAGTAAAATAAAAATTTGGATTCTTTGAGAAAATTGATAATGCTGAGTTGATAAACCTCTAACTTGGCCTAGGCTGATCAAGAAAAAAAAAAAAAAAACGAGAGAGAGAAGGGACAAATTACCAACATGAGGAGTGAGAGAGATGACATCACTATAGAGTTACAGGCAGGAAAAGATTAATCAGGGACTATTATGACAGTTTTTTTGCCAATAAATGCAACATATAATTTATAAAATGGACAAATTCCTAAAAACAGACAAACTATTGGCTGGGTGTGGTGACTCACGCCTGTCGTCCCAGCCCTTTGGGAGGCCGAGGTGGGTGGATCATGAGGTCAGGAGTTCAAGACCAGCTGACCAAGATGGTGAAACCCTGTCTCTACTAAAAATACAAAAATTAGCCAGGCATGGTGGTGGGTGCCTGTAATCCCAGCTACTCGGGAGGCTGAGGCAGAGAATTGCTTGAACCTGGGAGCCAGGATCGCACCCTGCACAACAAGCAAGACTGGGCAACAGAGCAAGATTGTATCTC